TGAATAAATTATTTTCATGCTTATATCTGTAAATACAAAAAGAGGAATAAAATCTACCTTGAACCAAAAACGAAACAAAAAAAAAAAAAAAAAAAAAAAAAAAAGCGTGTAGTACGTATTTGTGTTCAATGAATAGATTTATTTTTATAATATCTAGTTGTGTGGAAATAAACCTTGTCATAACTTCCAGCATCCAGAATTATACCAAACAAGCAAGCAAAAGCCCTTTACTATTAGATAATTTGAGTTGCAATAGGGAAGAAATTGCTGAGAAGATCTGAAAATTACATCTATGTCTATGATCAGTTAGTTTGGCAATCAAAAGGAGAAAGATAGGAAAAGAGAGAAAAAAAGTATAGAAAAGCTATCAGGATATTGCCAAATCAAAAGCTTTTAGCAGCAAAGATGAGAATCACAGCAAAAGGAGGCAGGAGTTCTGTAAGAATAGACCTTTCATGGTTCATGTGAATATCATTGTGGCTCAGAGACAGCCCAGCATTATGCCTTCAGAGAAGGTACTAATGGCCCTCTCTATTATAGCCCAATATATTAATTGGCATTTATACTGATATCACCACATTATCAATTAAATCCAGGAACTTACATTCATTCATTACATTTTAGAAAGGTTAGTTATGTAAAAGTTAAATTTTAGTTTTCTGAAAAATTAAGTAGATCGTTTCATTCCCTCCAAACACCAGATAAACTGGTGTTTCTGTTTTAGTAATTACTTTATTGTGTTCTGCTAAAAGGTGTATAAAAGAATTATGATCTGAAATCTATCACAGCCACATAGCCTTAGAGATAGGAGAGAACATACAGAACACCAAACACCATAGGGGAAGGAGCACCAGCTTTTGTAGTCAAGCAGGTCTGAGTTCAAATGCCAGCTCTACTACTTACCTACTGGGACGCTAAGTGTTTCCATCTCTGAACCTCAGTTCCCTCATTTGTAAAATAGGGATACCTTGCAGTGCAGATTAGAGTTTATATTAGTGAAGGGCCTGGTATGTGTTAAGCACTTCATAATGGCAGCCTTACAAAGCAACGACCCTAATGCAAAAGGGAAAGGTGAGTGTATATGTGTGAATATGTGCACTTGCACGCAAACACACACAGTATTATTTGTGATTTTTATTTTGTGAACTCTGTGAAATAAATTCCTAAACTTGTGTCAAGGGAAAAAAATGTGACCATCATTTTTACCAAATAATCACCTTAATTTGGTACATTTCTCTTCTTCTAGCTTCATTTTAGGATCTTAGATTACACACTCACTGGGTGTTATGCGGATCAGCATTCAGTTCAAGTTTTTGCATCAGGAAAACCAAAAATAAGTACATGTAAGTTGTACAGATTCAAACTAACTTAAGGTAACTAAAGTGGTGTTATGTTATTATTAACTAAGATAAAATTAAAATATGACAGAAAAAGATCAGAGAATAATACCGATTTATAAAAATTCTGGCCTAATCCATCCTGTGTAACAGTTTATGTACATTGCCCTCTGCCTTCTCCTATTTGTAAAGTGGTCTGGATGAGCAAGGATTGACATAGAGGTGGGCTCTAGTCTAAAGTTGGATTTGCTTTGCTCTGCTTATAATTTACTCTTTTACTCTTGGGCAAGTTAGTGAACTTATTTAGTTTCCTCATATATAAAATGGAATTAGTAGTATTATTTACCTCAGGGTTGTTAGGAGGTTTAAATAAAATCATATCAACCACGCACTTAGCATAATGCTTAGCATGTGGGATGGATTCAATAAATGTTAAATATGATTATTACTTAAAATTTTAAATATTTTTAGCAAATTGTAGTCAATGAGCATTATTTAGTACCCTGTTTTACCAAAAGGAGGGCAAGAGAAATGTGTGTGTGTGTGTGTGTGTGTGTGTGTGTGTACACACACACACATATAGTACAAATGGAAATATAGGGAGGGGAAACAGAGCAATTTGTAGATGAATTCAAAATTATTTAATTCAGATCAAATATAGATATGTGGCATAGAACAAAAAAGTAGCTAGAATGAGGTAGAGTTAGCTAAACATAAGCAGCAACATTTTTGCCTCATATATTAAGGGGAATAAAGCTATTTAGGTAAGTATTTCTTAAACTAAGGGTTAGGGTCCCTAGGAAGGATAAGACAAGACTTTGTACTTGAAAGTTTCTAAAGAATTATAGAACTCAGAACTACTGAATTCTAAGGAATTACCTGTGAATGGCAATAATAAATTCTATGTAATATAACCAGAATAAGCCATATTCTTTACCTCCATACATCCCTGTGCTTTCTCCTACATCATTTTTTTGTTGCTTTTTAGAGAAATTCATGTATATGGAAGAATCTTCATAATGCTTTTTTTTTTTAATGAAGGCACAATACAGTTAGTTTGGACAAACCAGCAGTTTTGTCTAAATGCAAACAGACCAGTATTTTAGGTTGTCTCTGGGAAATATGTTGTCTCTTTAGATAATGTTTAAAATATTGTATCTTATTAATATTAACTAAACATATTGTAGTAATTTTCAGAGATTATAATACAGAATGGGATGTTTCAGTAATTCACCTGCTTCTTAATATATGAATGAAAGAGGTCACTTTAAATGCATAATTATGACCAATCTTTTATTTCCTTCTTCTATTAGTTTCAGAGCATAACTATCACTTCATGCAACTATGTAAAAACCTTTATTTTGCCATCATCTTGACAATAAAATCTATATTCATAATATACAACTTAGTTCTGAAAATAGTTTAATAATGCTAATAATCTTAATTTAAATAATAATAGCTGATGTTTATTGCTTACTATGTGCCAGGCACAGTTCTGAGTATGTAATGTATGCTAACTCATTAATCCTTACAGCACCCTATGTAAGTGTTGTTATCTCCATTTTACAGATGAGGATGCTGACAGAACAGAGAGAATAGGGTCACATAGCTAGTAAATGGCAGAACTGGACTCAAAGCCAAGCAGTCTGTCTCTAGACCCTGACCACTTAACCAGTATGCTGTGTTGCCTCTCAATATCTTAACCAATATGCTATGTTGCCTCTCAATGTTACTAGGTTCTCAAACTGAGCAAATAACCAAAAAAAGGCAATGAGGTAATACATCCTACCTCTATCCTTTTCATTATGAAGAAGGTATAAAAGGCAGAATTGGATACATAGAGATGTATGGAATAATAACTTACACATGTCTAGCTCCAAATGAGCATTATCATCTCAGTTTTACATATCAGAAAACTTTAAAGAGGTTTTCATTTGTCCAAAGCTCTTAAAACAGAAACCTTAAATTTGATCAGAACAATAAGAAACCACTGAAGCAACCTTTTTAAAACGTTACTAGAAAGTTGGGTGTGTATTTCCATCTCTGAAACTTTGAATGCATAAAGAATAGCAATATCAGAATCAGAACTGTGGTGAAGAGGTTACAGAAGGGTAACAATAAAACTATTTTTAATGTTTTTGTAGCTGAAGTAATGGTCTGTAAGAAAAAGAATTTAGGGAAGATGTGAGAAAAAAATTAGCATATTTGGCGTGAGGGATTTTGGCATATATAAGCTAAAAGATGGATTATTCATGTATTTAATGAAGCCATATTTTTAAAGTGGTGAAAGTTATAATAATGCCTTGATAAAAATTGAATTGAAATGGATATCTCAAAGTATTGCCTTCCTTGAAATAATTGTGGTCCACAATTTTAAATTTCATGACTTTGCTTTCTCATTGAATTTTTAAGATAATATAATCTTACCTTTTTTTTTTTAGACCGGAAACTAATTTCTTCGGACTATTACATCTGGAATTCTAAAGCTCCTGCTCCAGTAACATATGGATCATTATTACTATAATTGTCTCATGTTTAAATGGGATTTATACAATAGTAACATAAATTAAATCACAGTCTTTTATTTTTAAGGTGTATGCATATAACCTATGAGTGAAAATCATTGATTTAATTACAAAATGCTCTTGTTCAATGTTTTCAGTCTGATCTAGTTTGAAAGAACATTTTAAAGACTAATGTATCCAATTTTGTTACCCTTTGATTTTACTCAAGTATGATTTCAGAGCATAAAATGTAGTGATTCACTTTCAGCTTATTGTAGACTAGTCTTGGGTTACCCTGCCATACATGTTTCTTCCTTCCCCTGCGGCAGATATGGCTAATCAGTCACAGTCCTCTTTCTCCACTGAGCCTTCCTGGATATGGGCTTAGGCTCCTCAGTGCAGAGCTGCAGGCAGCTACTCCCAGTAGATTGTAGATGACATGCAAGATAAAAAACTATTTGCTCTTCCAAACCTAAGTGCTAAGTGCTAGTACAATGTGTTGTTACAGAATACCAGAGACCACATTAGAAACAACTTTGTAAATCTCTTGAAAACAGCTGATGAAAATGAAAGAAAATTGTTTAAATAGTAACCTGTTTTTTTTGTTTTTTGAGTTTTTTTTGGCGGTACACGGGCCTCTCACTTTTGTGGCCTCTCCCGTTGCGGAGCACTGGCTCCGGACGCGCAGGCTCAGCGGCCACGGCCCACGGGCCCAGCCGCTCCGCGGCACGTGGGACCCTCCCGGACCGGGGAATGAACCTGTGTCCCCTGCATTGGCAGGCGGACTCTCAACCACTGCGCCACCAGGGAAGCCCTAGTAACCTGTTTTTAATCAGAACTATCCTACTGACTAATAAAGAATCTGCATAATTCTATTTTGTTTATCTCTGTTCTGGAGTTACTTTTCAGGCAAGCTTATTAATCTGCCACAATAACATTTTGTTTAGTAAGCATATTAAGAGGGGTGGGATACTTTCAGAAGATGAGCATAGTGTTTTGTGATTACTCAATATCTGCAGCCAAATTTTTAAATATAAATTTAGATATAATATCGGTATTTTCCTGTTTTATTATAATTCATTAATGAATGAATTCAGGTAAAAATTCAAAAGCTATTTTATGGGTAGAGAGTATCACTTAAATCTTATTTCAGTTTCATGTAGCACATTTTCTTTAAATTTGTCACCCTTGCTTCCTTATTGGCATGCTCTGGGTTTCTTCAGGAACCATCCAGTCATACATACTCTTTATTCTCTACCTGTCGTTACAATTATTTGTCACGTTCTGTTTTCAAAGTAGTTCATTGTCAAGTTGGACTTTAAATGACCATTCAAGAAAAGGTGAAATCTCAAGAACCGCAAAACTTATTCCATGTCAAGTTTCTTTTTACAGAACAGAATTAGAAGAGTTATAAAAAAATACACATTACAGATTAATATTCAATTAAATTATATCTTGGTTTCTTTTTTTTATGAGTCTCTTAAGGAATAGCTTAGAAAAAGCTGCTAACTTCTTGAAAGAGAGCTATGGTAGTTTGAAAGGAGATTGCATAGAAATTTAGGATTTGAAATGTAATTTTTTTAAATTAAGGTCAGTCCTACTCAGTATAAACTCATTTTCTGCAAGACATTATCATGGCATAATGTTCTATGTTCAAAATTATCCCAAGTAATGAAGAAAATAGAGTAACTTCCAGACCAGGACTTTAGCTTGTTATTCTAGGTTAATCATAGATAATCAGTAGTAAAAACATTCCTTTTGAAAAAAGAAAAAAATCATTCCCTTTAAGTTTTTTGATCTCTCTTAAACTCAAGGCAAGCTTAACATTTCACTTATATTAATGGAGCCATTTGTACATCTTGATTGTATAAGTGTTTAGCAAAGTATACTAAAATAGGGAAGAGGCATTTATCTAGTGAGTAGGCTGAGATTCAGTATAATAATCCCCTAGGCAAAACTTTATAAGCAATCATAAAAACCAATGAATCTTTGATCTGACATTTCTAGAAACCTGAGGAAAATCTAAGGAGTACTGGAAAAGTGTAGGGACAATGGGGAACCTGATGCCATCTGTTGCCATTGCATTCTAACATAACACTACAGAACTAAAACTAACTCATGTTTTCATCCTGTTGAGATCAGCTGGGCACACTGTGATGCTTTGATTTTGTCTAGAAACCTGTCACTTCAGGATAATTTCTGAAGACAAAGTCTGTTTCCCGTTTGGTAGGTGACCTGTTTAATGTTTTCTCTGTGTCTGGGAACTCCTTAGTGTAATTAGCGACCTTTGAACTCCACAACTAATCCTGAGCTATTTTGTATTCCTTACTCATCTTTAAGGCTGGACCTTTCTTTTCTTCAGAGTCCGCTGCCACAATTAAAGAAGAAACAGCTGCATTTCAAAGGGATTCCGATTCCAGAAGCTTAATCGTGATTGACATGTTCTTATTCTAAGCTATAAGACACTCTAAGAGTCCTTTCTTGGGTTAAAACTTCAATCATTTTCTAAAATATTATCTCGCTATGGATTTTATTCATTTTCTTTGATAACTATTCTTTGCATTTTTTAACTTGAAAGATGCTGTGTGTTTGCACTGAATATGAGCACCTACTTCCAGTTAAAGGTTTGGATGGTGTCAGACCGCTAGATGCAAAATTGCTAAATTCCCTTTAGTGCCAAAATATGATTATGAAATCTGATGTCTATCATATGGGTAATTATTCTTCAGTAGATCCAAAATGTACAAAAAGTGTTACATTTCTGAAAATGTACTCAAACTTTTTAAAGTCAGCAGTACCCTTAACAGTGGTGGGCATTTTTTACCTTTTACTTTTTAAATAATTGATTCAAATGTCAGGTTTGAAGTAAATAGCCTTATCAGGAATTCTTAAATTATTTTTTTAATTTTTAATTAAGCATTAGTCTTACAAAATTAATTTTTTCACACCAACTCAGTATTTTCAGTGAGTTAAAATTGTGGTTTTATATATACATTGTATGATTTAAGATATTTCAAAGCACAATTTAATACATAGAACAACTACTAGTATTTTTCTTCTAGTTTTTATTATAGTATTTCAGAATCCTTTATAGATATTCATGGACTCCTGCACCACCCCTGGGAGGAAGGTAGGTCGAGTTATCATCCAGAGTCTCTGCAGGGACCGCTGCCACAGCAGAATGGTGGTTTCTAAGACAAAGGTCAGAAAAGGGATGTTAATAAACAGTTCTCAGGTTTAAGGGACTTTTTTAGGATTACATCTTAAATTCCAACAAATCAGATTTAGGAGTTACTGAAAGTGAAATTGATCCATCCCTCATCCAAACTTTGCAATACTTTCCTGTTCTGACATCATTTAGATAGTTAGCTGTATTATCAGATTAGAAACCATTGTACCAGGCTGCTGAAAGGAAAAGGAGGCAAAAAGCTAAACATGGGATGAATTCTGAACCTTTTAACCTGGCTGAAGTACGCAGGTCCCTGTTATGCAAATACCTTCAATCCTCTGCTAAGTTCAGTGGAAATAATTTTCTTGAATGACAGGTTTATTCAGCAAGGATTCAGTTGGTGATTAATCCCCCTTTGATCTAGGGTATTTCACTTAACTACCAGTTACCTCGTTCTGACAAAGTGCAACTGAGATTAGGGAGATCACTAGAACACTACCAGGGTGTGCGTTTATTCTCTATAACCTTTTAAAGCAAGGGCCAAGAATGCAATTTATTTTCAGTATTTGAAGATGTAAAAGTCCTGTCTGCTAAGTTAGAAAGTCAATTGAATACCAAATGAAGTTTAGTTCTTATGTAATAGAACAAACATTTCTTTTTACTTTGCCTAACAATGATTTTAGAAAACATAGGCTTTGAAGAAACAAAGACTACAGTTTATATCTTCTAGTTTTGTTTCATATACTAGAGTGTATATTTATTGGCCCTGAGATAACCCAAAAATCAAAGCTACAACTTACACTGAGAAAATGCTTCTATTTTATTCAACTGCACAGTTTCTCCCCATCCGCCTCCATTAAAAAATGTCATGGTATGTGGTAAAGAAATCCAATTTGGGAAAACATGTCGCAGTACACAGTTATTCATCTTAAGACTTCTGATTTCAAAGCTTTATTTAACTTTGTCCTTTCCTGAAAAAGAGTTTGTTTTGTTCCCATGATGAATCAAGATTTTTTTCATAAATACCATTACAAAAATACTTCAAACTGATTATTTTGTTATCAAAATAACCATTTCGACAGTACTGTTTACTATTTTTTTCTGCCTTTTTCTCATTCAACTGGGTACCCTTCCTCCATAACTTTAAACTTTGAAACATTCTATGAAATTTTGCACAATATTTGAAGAATAAAATTGTAAGATGTGTTTCTTGACTAGTTTTATTATTATAGACAGCATTTTTTAATGCTTTGTAATTGTTCATTCTAGTATCAGTTTGCAAGTTATGTATTTGGATAATTTTCTTATACCTTTTTTTTGGCTCAAACTTTTTGTGATCCAATTTCTAAATTGAAACAGTGACTCAAATAAATGCATATCTAACTTATGTTTGTGCCAAATGAACATCTCTAGTTTGAATTTAGTAACCAAAATGTTTCTAAATATCTTTTGATAGCAAGTTACTTAACCATGGTAAAATTGAACAGAAAAAATATAAGATGGAAGGCAGGATCCCCTGGCCATGTTGCTAAGAAACTAGTATTTTTAATAAATAACTTACTCTATGCAGTAAATTTTTAGTTAATAAAATGTTGCAATATATTTTGAAATATGCTATCAGAGAAAATATATTTATGTAAAACATAGATGTATGTGTGTGCATATTTATAGAATGTTTTATGTTAGTGTGTACAACTTGGTGGGTTTCCCTATGAGATATTTCATTATGTCAGAGGAAGAAGAATATTTAAAGTTAAATATTCAAATGTCTTCCCTGCAAACACAATGTTAGCAGTAATGAAGAAGTGCATAAAATGAATATTACCAAAGAGCTCTTGAGGTTACTCTTATAAAATGGTTAAAACTCTTAGGAGTTGAAAGCTTTTCAGCTAGCTCCTAGGTTTTTTTTTCAACAACTGTTTTATGGATATGATAACATTATGGTCTATATATAGCCTGGAGCAATGCAATGCCTTATCTGTATTACTAATTTACTGCTTTGTAAGCAGGTTACTTTGAGGTCCAGGTTGACTTTTCTCAGGCCGTGGCCAATCTGTGTAATTGATGGTAGTGTGGTGTTAATGTATGATGCACAGCATTTACATATTGACGGATGCCCTGGGGTGGAAACCACCTGCTGAATTGTTTTTCCAGTAGGACGTGAAAATTTGTATATCTTAATACTCCATTAAACATTTAAAATCAAACTATGTTTCCTTTAAATGTCTTCTCTTTAAATGATAGTTTCTGTGGGGAAAAAAAGGTTATTTAGTTAACATACTACTAATAAATAAAAATGAAAAATTATTGTTATCCCTCTTAAATTTTTTACTTTTTCTTTCAAGGGACTTTAGTGCCCTCTGCAGGTTATATAAAGAGATAACTAATGACTATATTTTTAAACCCTGGGATTTTTCCCTTTTAGAAGCAAAGCCTGGTAAGTGTGATCCATTTTATTTATATTGTTAACTTTGTTAATTTGCCAGTGATTGAAGTAAGAGTTTCTTTTCTTTGCCAGCTTTATAGTTTAGTGTGAAGAATGTAATACCATTGATTTTCCAAATCACTTAGCTGGCACTCTTTAAATGTTAGAACTATAGTAATACACGTTCCCTCACAGAAAGCAGATTGGGAAAACATTCAGCTGTTTTGAAATTTATTGAAAATGTGGAGAATAACTTGATTATTTCCCATTACATTTTTAGAATATTATACATTGAAATAAAATAAGCCTTTTCCAGTATGCATCATGTAAATTTTAAAAATTACATGAGTTTTATTTCTTAATCTTGTTGATGAGTGATGATTGTGTTCAAGCTCAAAACATGAGGCTACTTAGAATTTCTTTAAACAAAGTTAAGATTGAACAGATAATGCTTTGGTATTAATTGTTGCATAGGTCCACGAACCAGAAAGAATATTTCTATTTGAAGAACAAAAGGCAAAGTTTTCGTATCTGAGTCACTCATTTCAAAGAACCCATACTTTCTCAATGAGTATGACAGATTTATTTCTAAAGGATATAGGAATTCATTTTGTATATGAAACTATAGAACTGGAGCACCAGTGGCACTTCTGATTCACTTAAAGCTGCCAGGGAAACTAAATATGATGAGAACAAGAGGAATGACTGGATCAAGTTAATAGAAATAGTTCTGCAAGTCACATAATGATCCTGATCATCAACCTTGAAAAGTAAATTAGAACAAGCAAATTGCTGTTGAAAAATTCTTTCAGCGCTCTGCTGTTGCTACTCAGCTAGTCATGACTCAACCAGAGACAAGGAAAAAATGCACTCAGTTTTGCCTTAACAAAGGAAACATTATTAAAGTGAATGTTTACATTCTGTTTATTGAAGTGTTCAAAGAATATTTGTTGCATCTTCAAGCAGCCTGCTGTTCTCCCAGCTATTACAGTGCATGAGTGATAATAAAGAGTCATTTGTACATTTTAGAAAAGTAAATAAATAGCATTTAACTTGTGTTTCTGAGCTATCTTACTTCAAAATATTGATGTATTAATACTTTCTCTTTTAAAGATTTTTGTCACTAGGAAAAGTATCCTATTAAAAAAAAAAACCTCATTCACTTGAATACACCTTTGAATTATTTTCAAATGCTTTATGTAACTTTCCTCCCAGAATCTACAATGCATAAGAAATAACTGAAAATAATTTTTTAAATGAAAACAATTGTGAAATTACTTGAGTGTGTAATTGAATATATAATATGTGCATTGGGAAAATAGCTTGATAATTATGAGAGCTTTTTTGAGCTACATTTATCTTGAGCTACTTCATAAGAAAAAGTTGAGAATTAAACAAGACAGCAATTGGAAGCAGGCATACCAATCTGACATTTAAAAATTTAATAAGTATTATATGTACTGCTAAAATTGGGGGAAAGTCAATAATTAAAAATTCAGAATGTTAGCTTTCATCTGTGGAAAATGAACAATCTAAATCACTTTTATATTTTAGAAGCATAGTGTTTAATAGGGATTTAAATACCATATTTTACTTGGTCCCTTGCAGG